TCAATCTCAAGAGATTTCAAAAGTGTTAATCACTCACCTCCCCAATGAGCAATGAAAGTTTGAACCTCCTCATCTTACTGGTGGGAATACTGAGGCCTTTCTGAGAGGGCAGGTCCCATGTGTCACTAAGGGCCTCACAGAGAAGAGCAGAAACTGGTCAGATTTTACAAAGTCCTTTCCTCTTAACACCCTGTGACAGATGAGGAAACTGAGGCTTGCCCAGTGGTCACAGGATTACAGCTGGAGGGGCCAAGGCCACACAGATAGTAAGGAGCAGAACCAGAATTCAAATCCAAGTCCTCCGACTCCAAAGCCGGTCTTCTTTCTGCTATCCCACATTCGAGGTCTCCCCTGTGGCTAGGACAGTGTCAGGGGGCTGATGTTCAGAACAGGCTGAAATGTGTTGAGGAATTATGGACAACAAAAAAGGGTCAGTTTGCTCAGGAAGACCAAGGAAAGGCAGGGATGAAGGGAAGGGAAAGTTGATGGAGATTTCACAGCACTCTGACCAAACCACACTGTGAGCTTTGCTTGGAAAGGACAGAACAAAACCAGATTAGTGCCAAGAGAAGAGCCCCACCCAGCAGCCCCCAACGACTGCTGGGCTGCTGGCAATGACCTGTTGGGGGAGAGAGAAGGGAACAGAAAACATCATCCACATCGAAAAGATAGACCTCTCTATGGGGAAGGAACTTAGCTAATCTATAATAAATTTCCTAATAATCAACCAGAAAAACATATAAAATCTAATGGAACAGAAAAGGAATAGTCATGGGACCACAGATTCACAGCTAGAAGGGACCATAGGGACTCTCAAGTCCTCCCTCTTTTTATCAATGAGGAAACTGAGTCACAGAGAGGTTCCGTGACTTCTTCAGGTCCCAGAGCAGGATGCGGAGCCAGGTCTTCTGGGCTTTCCACTATCCCGCCTGTCATATTCTCTCTTGTCCAAAACTGCACAGTCTTCCTCCCTTTTTTCTATGCACACTGTCACATCCTCTGTTTTCTCAGTCAAGGAGAATGACCTTTGGACAGGAAAGAACTGAACAAAAATCACGACTAAAGAACTAATGGCCAAGGTAATTGAGGAGAAAGTTCCAAGAACCTCTCGCTGCCCTCAACGCCCAAAGGAACCACATCTTTGTCACCGGATGATAGAAGGGCCTCCAGAGGCCTGAAGGAGGACCAGCATGATTCAACTTGTCATCAAAGGAAAGAAAATCGAGTCTGTGGACTTGAGGCCAGGGAGCCTGACTTGAATTCCTAAGAATATTCTAGAATAGATGGTTCTAGAATACATTGGGAACCCTCTAGAAAAGGAAGCAGGGATCCCAAAGGGCCACTCTGGATTCCTCAATAACAAGTCAGGTCCAAAAACTGCTGGAAAAAAGTATGGCAGAAACTAGGCATAGATCAACATCTCATGCTGTATATCAAAATAAAGTCAAAATGGGTTCATGACTTAGATATAAAGGATGATATTGTAAGCAAACTGGCAGAGCAAGGAATAGTTTACCTGTCAGATCTATGGAGAACAGAAGAATTTATGACCAAACAAGAGATAGAGAGCATTACAAAATGCAAAATGAATAATTTTGATTATATTAAAAAGGTTTTGCACAAACAAAGCCAATGCAACCAAGATTAGAAGGGAAGCAGAAAGCTGGGAAACAATTTTTAAAGTCAGTGTCTCTGACAAAAGCCTCATTTCTCAAATATATAGAGAGCTGAGTCAAATTTATAAGACTACAAGTCATTTCCCAATTGATAAATGGTCAAAGGATATGAACAGGCAGTTTTCAGATGAAGAAATTAAAGCTATCTATAGTCATATGAAAAAGTGCTCTAAATCACTATTGATTAGAGAAATGCAAATTAAAACAACTCTGAGGTACCACATCACACATATCAGATTGGCTAATATGACAAAACAGGAAAATGATAAATGTTGGAGAAGATGTGGGAAAATTGGAACACTAATGCATTGTTGGTGGAGTTGCGAACTGATCCAACCATTCTGGAGAGCAATTTGGAGCTATGCCCAAAGGGCTATAAAACTGCGCATACCCTTTAATCCAGGGAATACCACTACTAGGTCTGTATCCCGACGAGATTATAAAAAAGAGAAAAGGACCCACACATACAAAAATATTTATAGCAGCTCTTTTTGTGGTGGCCAAGAATTGGAAATTGAGAGGATGCCATCCATTGGGGGAATGGCCAAACAAGTTGTGGTATATGAATGTAATGGAATACTATGGTGCTATAAGAAATGATGAGCAGGCGGACTTCAGAAAAACCTGGAAAGACTTGTATGGACTGATGCTGAGTGAAGTGAGCAGAACCAGGAGAACGTTGTACACAGTAACAGCCACATTGTGTGATGAGTGACCTTGATAGACTTATTTCTTCTTAGCAATGCAAGGATCTAAGACAACTCCAAAAGACTCGTGATGGAAAATGCTATCTACATCCAGAGAAAGAACTATGGAGTCTGAACACAGATCGAAGCACAGTATTTTCTCTTTTTTTCCCTTTTTCATGTTTCTTCCCTTTTGTTCTCATTCTTCTTTCACAACATGACTAATGTGGAAATACGTTTAATATGATTGTAAGTATTGTCAGATTATCGTACCTATCTCAGACTGCTTGCCATCTTGGGGAGAGGAAAGGGAAGGGAGGAAGAAAAAATTGAAACTCAAAATCTTATAAAAGTGAATGCTGAAAACCATTTTTACATGTAATTGGAAAAAATAAAATACTATTAAGTGGGGAAAATTTTAAAAGAATTTGTAAAAAGAACAGATCAGGTCAAGCTATCCTCACTTCCATTTTGGACAGGGTTGTGAGCCCAGCAGATGAGACGAATGCCATGGATACAGTTGACCTAGATTTCAGCAAAGCTTTTGATGCTGTGTCTCTCAGTATTCTTGTGGATGAGATGGAATGATATGAACTAGAAGGAGGCAGTAAATGGCCCAGAGGTCTCCTGTGGAGCTGGACCAGGCTCTGGGCTGTTTTGTATTTGTCTCCACGACTTGGATAAAGTCACTGATGGTCTGCTCACCAAATGTGCAAAGGGCACCCAGCCAGAAGAAATAGCTGACACACAAGAGGACAAAGCCAAGATCTAGAAACATCTCAACAGGACAGAGCACAGGTTGAACAGAATAAGACTCAATTCAATTAGTATAAATGTAAAGTCTTACACTTGGGTTCAGGAAATCACCTCCACAAACACAAGATGGAAGAAGCCAGTGAGGCAGCCTTGATGGGAATCAGCATGAGGATGTGGCAGAGCTTCCTGACCTAAGGGGGTGATGGTCCCTTGGCCCTCTGCCTCGGTCACAGCACACTGGAAGCATCACGTTCAGGCCTGGCTAGCCGACTCTTTGAGAGGACACTGCTAAGCGGGAGGTCCTCTAGAGCAAAGCAAGCAGGAGGTGGAAGAACCTTGAGACTATGGCACTAGAAGGGAGACAGAAGAACTTGAGGCCCATTAGCCGCCCTCGTGGTGGTCTCCATGTCTTTGAAGGAGCGTCACTGAGAGGAGGGGTTAGACACGTGACCTCCCTGACAACTCCAGCCTTTTATGAGCAGCCTTGGGCTGCCTGGGAGCTGATGGCTTCCCTGGCCTTGGAGATCAGATTTGCTCCCTTCCCAGTGTATAATTTACGATTTTTGTGAGGCTGAGAGAACAATGTCACAGAACAGGGAAGGGTTCGAGAGCACAGGTGGGATCTCTGAGGTGATGCTTCCACATCTCAGGTGTAATCATAGCAGGCGAGCTACAGTAGGCTGCTGGAGTAGAAAAGGTTGAAGACTTATATGGCCTGGTTTCTAAAGAGAGGTCATTCCCATGAAGAGTGAAGCCTGGAGGATGATGGCAGGGGAGGGGCTGGAGAAGAAGGATCCAAGGGTTAAAACTTTGGCATGAAGAAAATCAGTGCAACTGGGACAAAAAGGGAGCAGCTACAGGGCACTGCAGCCAGGAGTCAGGATAACCCAAGTTCAAATCCAGTCTCCCATACATATTTGCTGTATAACCCTGGGCAAGTCACATCACTCTGGTTGCCTCAGTTTCCTCATTTGTAAAATGAGCTGGAGAAGGAAATGGCAAAATGTCTCTGCCCAGAAAACCCCCAATGGGGTCATGAAGAGTCAGGACTGAAAATGACTCCAAGGATAAAAAGGAGAGCTGTCCATTGGCGGGAATCTTTGAGTGGCTAGTAGACTTAAAAAATCTATAAAATCAAGAGTAGCTACCCAACCCAGAATAAGCTCTGCTCACAAGCAGTAAGAGAAATACAAAGCAAAACAACCCTGAGCTTTGGCTACACATCCAGGAAATAGATAAAGATGACAAGCGATGGGAGTGGTCAATGTTGAGAGGGTTGCAGGATGCCCATGGTGGGGCTGCAAACTGGTCTAATCATTGGGGAAAGTACTTTGTAGTGTTGGTAAGAAGGTAATTTGAAAAAGGATAGGAAGCAATCCAGCCTCATACACTTACTAGTTGTGTGACCCTGGCCAAGTCACTTCATCCTTGATTGCCTCAAAAAAAAAAAAAGGATAGGAAGAAAAGAAGGAATTGTCAAGTCTTCACCACCTCAGGAAACACTAACAACAAGGGAAGGGCACATCATGGCGGCTCTGAGCTTTCAGCAAAGGGAACAAATGCTGGAGGGGATGGGGAAGGCTAGACACATTGGTGCATTGTTGGTGGAACGGTGATTCAGTAAACCACTTCGGAAAGCCACGTGGAATTATGCAAATGAGGTGACTAAAACGCCCGTCCCCTTTGACCCAGACTCCATCACAGGGCTGGTACATGGAGGAAGCCACTGCTTACAAGAAAGTCCTCATACACCCCCAAAATATTTATAGCAGCACTTTTTGTGATGTATGGGGGGAGATCGGCAGCGGATCGGACCTCAAAGTCAGGCAGACGGGTCCTCTGGGGAGCCGCGCGTTAAACATCGCAAACCCTGAGGACCAACGGGTCCCGCCCCCGCCCCCGCCCCCGGCGCTTCGGGCCCCGCTCCTCGTGCAGCGCGCATGCGCCCGTACCCGCGCACGCGCACAATGGTGGCTGAAGTGAAAAGCCCTCAGACCTGACTAAACGATGCCAGAGTGTCAGGCCCGGCGGCCAGCGTGAGCTCTGAGCGCCCCCCGGAGGAGAGAAAGGAAAATGAGCCGACAAGGCCCACGCCGGACGGGGCACCGCCCTTCTTCATCCTCCCCTCCCCCCACCTCCCCACCTCGTTTTTAGAAGCTTCTTTCTTTTGTTTTGTTTTGTTTTGTTTTTAGCAAAAATGAGTGTTGTTCTTTGTCAAAGACTTTTCCTGCATCTGTTGGGACAAGCATGGGATCTGAGATTTTTTTTTTTTACTTTGTAACAGGATGAATTATATTGATTTTTTTCCCCTAATATGAACCATCCTTTCATGGCTAGTATAAATAATGAATGATTTCTTGGATAAATCTCTATAGTTTGACATAATTTTGTTTAAAATTTTTGAATCAACGTTCATTAATGATATTGGTCTATAGTTCTGTGTTTTCTCATTCCTGTTTTACGTATTAAAAGACTCTGTCTCATCCAAAGCACTGTGTTGCTTTCTTTCTCAGTTTTTGAGAACAATTCATTCGGTATGGGTACAAACTGCTGTTTAAGAGTATCTCCTCTTTTGCACTCATTTTAGGTTTATTTGTTTGCTTTACAATTTGTTAATTCCATATTCAGTTTATTAATCCTTTTTTTTTCTATTTTGTTAATATATGTTTTCAGGAATATGATGTTCCCCTGAGAAATGCTTTAGAAGCATTGTTTTTTCAATGTGTTATTGTTTAAACATTTTAAATTATTTTTAACACTTTCTTTTTAAATTTTCAGTTCCAAATTCCCTCCCTCCCCTCCCACCTACTGAGAAGACAAGCAATACATCAATTATACGTGTGAAATCATGCAAAACATCTTTCCATATTAGCCATATTTTTTCTAAAAAGCAAGGAAAATAAAGTAAAAAAATTATATTGTGATTTGCACTCTTTTTTGTTCTCTCTTTTTTCATCATGAGTCCTTTGGAACTGTCTTGGATCATTGTGGTGATCAGAGTAGCCATCTTTCACAGGTGATCATGATTACAACATTGCTGTTACTGTACACATATGATCTCCCAGGTCACGGAGCATCAGTTCATAAAGGCCTCCCCATATCTTTTCTGAAACCATCCCTTCATCATTTATTATAGTACAGTAGTATTCCATTACAATGATAAACCACAGCTTGTTCAGTCATTCCCCAATAGATGAGCATCCCCTCAATTTCCAATTCCTTGCCACCACAATACATGGGATGTTCAGAGAGGACTAGCTGGGCAGACAGATAGCAGATTTCATGTTCAGATATTTGGAGAATATTGCGGGCCCTCGCTTGGACTAATTTCAGATTCAGCCTTTAAGAGAGAGGGATTTCATGGTGTCTCCAGTAGAAGGCCTTGTACAGACATTGTACTCCCTCTTGGAGTGATTAATACACGTGGATACCCACTGTCTTTCTGGAGGTTTAGGGAAGTAGCTCTCAGGTGTCGTACGTATGTATAATGTGCCCTACAGATGTAATGTGTACAATGCATGGTATGGTATATCCAGCATGTCATGTGAATATCTGATATATTGAATTATGAAATATTGGGGGGGGATGCTACAAGAAGGAGGAAGATGAAGTGAAAAAGAGACACTTTGCAAAGAATAATGCTAGATAATCACACCTTGTATCCAACATGTTCTGTTATATACCTGGAAACTTCAATCAGATTCTTGTCAGGGTCTCAGAAGTACACTGATTCGATTGGCCCCAGAGCTCCAGTTCTGGTCACTGGGCCTTCTTCAATAGGGATGCTGCAGTTCTATTACAAGGAGAGGAGGTGAGTCATTCTCATGGATCAGTTCCAAACTAGATAACATCAGAAAGAGTTGTATCTCAGGGAATACATTTAGAAGCACAGACAGTTTCTCAAAAGTCCCTCAAAGTCAATTAGTTTCACACCTTCATGTTACAGAATTTCTAAAAGGACCTCAAATACCATCCATCGGATCTAGCTCTAAGTGGAACAAGAATCTTGCCTACACTGCAATATGCCCCCAGAATGTCTCCAAATAGCCCTCCTTTCCCCTCCCAAAGAGCCATCCCATAGAACAAAGAGAAAAAGAAAAAGAAAAAACTGATCATATCATACGTAGGTCTGTACCCCACCTGAGGACCTCCCAACTCTGCACAAGGGTGGGTAAAAGTGTCATCTCAGATCTCTCCTTTCAAGCCAAGATTGTTCTTTGTAATTTTGTGTGTGCGGTTCTTCTCATCCACATTGTTGTACTTACTGTGTATGTTATTTTCTGGGCTCTGCTTCTTTCCCTCTGCATCAGTTCATGTAAGTCTCCTCATGCTTCTCTGTGTTCCTCACCCACATCATTTCTTATAGCATAGTCTTCTTCCATGACATCACCCCCATTTGTTTAGCCATTCCCCAGTTGATGGGCATCAACTTTGTTTCTAGTTCTAGACTCTCACAAAAAGTGTTGCTATCAATATTTTGGTGTAATTAGGGACTTTCTTCTTATCAATGGCCTCTTTAGGGTTATAAACTTAGGGCAGCTGGGTGGTGTCATGGTAGAGTGCTAGCCTTGGAGTAAAGAAGACCTGAGTTCAAATCATGCCTTAGACATTAGCTGTGTGGCCCTGGGCAAATCATTTAACCTCTCAGCCTCAGTTTCTTCATCTGTAAAATGGGGATAACAGCACCTACCTCCCAGGATTGTTATGAGGATCAAATGAGATGACATTTATAAAGCACTTTGCAAATTTTATATAAATGCTAGCTATAGATAGTTTTATACAAATCTATATAAATGCTAGCTAGTAGCAGTGGCAGGAGTGGAATCTCTGGATCAAAGATTGTGGACATTTTAGCCACTTTATTGCTTCACCGACAGCGTATTAGTGTCTCTTCATTCCACAATGCCTCAAATAGAGTGTTTTAGGGCTGTTTTGATTTGTATTGTTCTTTGTGTTTATACTTTGGAGCATTCTTTTATATGGTTGTTAATAGATGGCAATTCTTCTTTTAAAAAAAGATTCCTATCCTTTGATAATTTATCTACTGGCAAGTGGATTTTGATTATATACATGTGTATACCTGAGTTCAGATCCAACCTCAGACACTTACTAGTTGTGTAACCCTGGGCAAGTCACTTAACTTCTGTTACTCTCCACTAGAGAAAGAAATGCCAAACCTCTCTAGCATCTTCACCAAGAAAGCCCTATGGACAGTACTGTATATAGTCCATGAGGTCCCAACAAGTCAGACATGACTGAACGACTGAACAACAACAAAGAGGGGTGTGTGTGTGTGTGTGTGTGTGTGTGTGTGTGTGTGTGTGTGTGTATGTGTGTGTGTGTTGGATACCAAACCTTCATCAGAGAAATTTGACACAAAGATTTTTTTCCCGTTTGACTACTTTCTTTCGTGTCCTGGATGCATTAACGTTGTCTGTGCAGAAGCTTTTCAGTTTCACATAATCATTTATCTATTTTATCTTTTGTAATTACTTCTAGTTTGGCCAAGAAAACATTTCCCACCAATGGCTGTATAAGGCAAATGACCTGTTTCTCTTCTAATTTTTTTGTGGTATGATGGTTAAGACTAAGTTCATGTATCCATTTATAACTTATTGTGGACTGTGGTGTAAGATGCTGGTCTAAGCCTAATTTATGCCAGACTGATTTCCAGTTTTCCCAATAGTTTTTTTTTTCTTTTATCAAATAAGGAGTTCTTTCCTAGATAATTTATGTTTTCCGATTTATCAAACACTAGGTTATTGAGTTCCATTGTTTCTTATTCTCCATTGTCTAGTCTGTTCCATTGATCTAGTCTCTATTTTTAACCAATACCAAATGTTTTTGATGTTCTGTTTTTAACACAGTCTGATGTCTACAAGTGGTATTCCTCTTTTATTCCTACCTCTTTTCATTATTTCCTTTGATATTCGAGATCTTTTGTTCTTCACCTTATTTTTCTTTTTCATTACCAAGTGCTACAAAGTATCCCTTTGATAATTTCATTGGCATAACATTAAAACTGTAAATTAACTGATGGTGGTGTCATTTTTATTATTTTGGCACAGCCCAGCTATGAGCACTGAATATTCCACCAACTATTTAAATTATTCTTTATTTTTTCAGGGAGCATTTTATAATTAAATCTATATAAGTATTTTGTATATTTGTGTCCAAATATCTTATCCATTCTATAGTTATTTGGAATGTTATTTCCCTTTCTACCATTGCCACTTGCATTTTATTAGTATCATATAGAAATGCAGTTGATTTTTGAGGGCTGATTTGAAACTGATGACTTTGTTGCAGCTACTAATTGTTTCAATTGGTATTTTGTTCATTCCTTGGGATTTTCTAAGTAAACCATTATGTCATCAGCAAACAGGGATTTTTGTTAATTTCCTCTTTATGCCTTTAATCTATTTCTCTTGTCTTATTTCTATTAATAGCGTTTCTAGAAATGTATCCAGTAATAGTGAGGAAGGCGGGTCTCCTTGCTTGCGCCTGCATTTATTAAGAACGCTTCTAGTATGGTCTTTGCTGTTGGTTTTAGATAGCTACTTTTCATGATATCAAAGAGGTCGCTCTATGCTTACACTTTGTAGAGCTTTTCACATAATGGAATGTTATATTTTATTCAAGGCTTTTTCAGTGATGAGGAACCCATTACCTCTGGAGACAGTCCACTGCACTTTTGTATTCCAAATCAATTAGGAGGAATCATGTTGATCCTAAGTATGCTATTTCATATTCTTTCCTTTAGAATCTTCAATATGTCAGTCACTACTTACTTAGCCTGTCATTCAAGGCTCTCCTCAATAATGCATAAAGTATTTGAGTAATTTTAATGTTGTTGAATAACCAGGGCTTCTTTTGGAAATTAATCAAGCAACAAGCATTTATTAAGCATTTAGCATATGACAGGCACTATGCTAAAAGCTAAGAGTACAAAGCAAGGTAAAGTTAGCATTCAGAATTGTTCTTTAGGGGCAACTAGGTGTTGCAGTGCATAGAGCACCAGCCCTGGAGTCGGGAGGACCTGAGTTCAAATCTGGCCTCAGACACATAACACTCACTAGCTGTGTGACCCTGGGGAAGTCACTTAACCGCAATTGCCTCACCAAAAAAAAAAAGCCAGAATTGTTCTTCAGCTCTTCTGAATCTTTTCAAAGCAAGATGGAGCACAGGGATTAGATTAAAAGGTGATCTATATAGAGAGATAAGGGCCCTGGGTCCCTTCTGGGACCATTCCCAGCCTGGATTCCTCCTTTCCCTACTCCCTTCTCTGTCTTTACCCCCGTATCTGGTTGGAGTCCCTTCTTCTCTTTTATACAAACCAGTTTGTCAGAGATGAGGTAACAATGCCCTAAATCTAGGTCTTAATCCAGATGGACATTCCTCTGGCCATCTCTGCTATCTCACCTACCTTTAGATGTTCCACCACCTCTTGGAGAGGGCGGTCCGTAATCAGGAAGACATCTATGGATCCTGGCACAGGGTTGTGGGCTTTGGGTTCAAATTCCTTCCCAACCTCGTGAAGATTAAATTTCTGATTCCCAAAGCACAAGGCTTTCCGGTTTCCCTGTCTGTGTCAGAGTCAAGAATAAGGATGGAAGAAAAAGCGATAATGCAAGAGGAAAGATCCCCGGGGGCAAAACAGCAAAGGTCTCTCCAGGCCCAGGTGCTACACAGGCCTGCCACACTTTCCCTCCATGGTACCTATCACCAGCTCTCCACTCCCATCTCCCTGCCTTTTGGGACATTTTCCAGGCCCACTCCTTCTGTAGACTCTAGTTCACCAGGGTCCATCTTCTTCAGACCCAGAGGTCTCTGGGCAGTCTCAGCCAGAAGGGTATAGAGACACTGACTCCCCGTGTCCCAGGCAAGAGTGCTTAGGCTCCCTCCTCCCCTGACCCTCCACTGATCAGGGTGAAACCCTGAAAGATGCTGCCAGCCCTCCCAGAGTAGCCAGGCCCAAGCGGAGCAAGAGAATTTCCAGTAGTCCTTGCCTCACCTCAGCAGAGGGTGACAGGGTCTCTTATATCACCTCTCATTCATTCCCCAGCCAGGTGTCAAATGCTGTGAGTCCCAATCCTTCAGCTAAAGACAAAAGACAGAACTTCCTAGAGAAGGGTCAGTGTGGGCGTGATTGCCCAAGACAGTACTAAGAATGAGGGTGAAGAACAGGGCAGAGAGAGAAGTGGGTGATGGGGAGGCCAAGGGTCTGCCCATCTTTGTGAGGGGCTGAGGTGGGGCACAGAAGAATGTCGTGGCAATGATGGGAAGTTAGAGGGTCTCCAATTCACCCACCTGCAAACGCCCTCCAGCACGGCATTAAGAGAGGGACCTCAGAACTGTTCAGGCCTAAACTATCCAGGTTACAAAACTGACGGGGAAGTCCCATTGAGTCAGACCCCCAGAGCTTTTTCAGACAAACTGCCATCTAACCCTGCCCCCCCCGTCTTATACTTAGGAAGTTGACTTTTTAGCCCAAGTGTAAAATGTTACATCTATCCCTGTTGAATATCATCTATTATTTGAACATTTATTTGAGCATTTGGGATTTGATGAGTAAAGGCAGCAGCTTCACTCTCACTTGAGCTGTTGGTCATGTTTGTAAAAGTTGTAGGGGCTCAGTCCTTCAGCATTTGCCAAGTTGCACGTACACACTGCCTGATTAACAAAGTAGTTTTGCCATGCCACATTCCTCCCACCAAACCTACACAGTAGATAATGAGTATTATTGTCCCCTGTAGGAGGGACTAGATCTGCTGGCCTCCATGTGTGGGGCAAAGAGCAGCTGTCATTGAATCTGGAGTAGACTAGAATGGCTGAGACTGTTGCCCAGTGACAGAGGAGACTGAGATCCTGAAGTTGGGAAATGCATCCAGAGAGCATCTCGAGGGCTGAGACTAAGGAGGGCTAGCCTGGCACCCACTCTACGATCCTGAGAGGAGTCCTGGATACGCACGCACACACACACACACACACACACACACACACACACACACACACACACGCTTCTTTCTTGCCACAGGCCAAAGATCTGGTATGTTAAATGGGAGGAGGTTTATGAGATAACTATAGGTGGATGGCTCCGTATAGGAGCACGAGACCCATTTCCTTTCCCGTGTAACACGCGCATTTAGGGTTAGGGTTCGGGTAAGTAGTCAGAAGTGTTGTGACCTGAGAGAGGACGGTACAGACACAAAAGCCCAAGAACTCTGCATGGACCAGCCATCGTACTTTTATTTCTATTTCACCCCCTTGATTAAATTCCAAACCTGGCCAGTGCCAAAGCCACAGTGTCAGCTGTGGTAAACCGAGCGCCCTCTTGTGACCAATGGAGATGATGTAGCCTATTCAGAAAGCCTGGTAGCTCACGTGGACACTCCGTGCTTTCTCACTAATAACAGTCATAACAGCAAATATTTATGTAGCACCTACTACATGCCAGGCATAGCGCTCACATTATAGGCCGTGCCAGGTTTCGAGGCTCATCGACAAAGAGCTGGCCTCCATTCAGTAACTGATGAAGTACTAAGGCCCCCAGTGAAATACCACAGCCTCCTGCGGTACTGAACAGCCAATGAACACGTGGAATGAGGGTGATTTTGCATAAAAGGATGTAGTTTCTTCAATACTCTTCATGGTCATTACCAGGTGGTCTATTCCATGGATGAGACAGGAGGACAGCACCTTACTACAACCACTTCGAGACTGAAAAAAGAGGAAAGAGATTCCATCCATCTTTGTTGACTCTCTATCCTGCTCCCACTCTCCTTCCCCACCCCTGTTCACGTGTTCTATATATGGTCTTTCTAAACATTTTAATTCTCAGGAAGTAAACAACATAGTCACTCCTGGGCTTCTTTTCTCTTTCTTACTAGCCCGGCTTTCTCTCAGTTCTTCCATTTCTCTCCTCCTTCTTTGTTCTCTTCCCTTCTTCTCTGCCCCCCCCATCTCTTGACTCTCTCCCTCCATTTCAATCTCCTGAGCAATGAAGGTGAGGGAAAATGCCAAGATAGAAACAGGAAAGCACCAGGGTCCCTGAGGAATTCAAAGAAAGAGAACAAGGGAAGATCAAAGGGCTAAGTGCATAGATTACAAAAATGCCAGAAAGCCACAGGAGGGAAAAGGTTATTTAAATGTCAATGTTTTCCAGACCATTTCCTTCCCAAAGGCTGTCTCGTGCCCTGCCAACAGATGGTTCTGTTGTCTCTTGCTTGTGACTTTCTGGTGAAGGCAAAAGCGAAGTGGATCTGTCCCTTCTGCCCTGCTGTTGTGCTCCCTGGAGAGAGGAGTCTCAGCTTGGCCTCTTTCTGCCCCAGCTAGGCAATGACCTTTCTCCCAGCCAGGATTACTGAGGAGTAGCTCTGTCCAATGCTAGCTCTGGCTCTGGTCAAGCCAGCCCCTGCCTGCAGGGGCTAGAGTCCACAGGTAGGAGGAGGAGCCTTTTGTACTACTAGCTTTTCACCGCAATTCCATCAGGGTACAGGCTTTCAGCAGGCACAGCCCTGAGGCTCTACTCAGGCCTAGCTCAGCCAAGTCAGTTCCAGAGGTCAGAGTCCAGGTAAGGAGGAATCTCAGGCCACCAGCTCCCACCTCCTTCTTCTGATTCAAAGACTGAGAGGGCGGTAACTTAATAAGGAAAGGATGTGGAACTTGTAACACTTGAACACTGATTGTATTTGAGAGGGGAAGAAAAAGGAAGAGCCAAGAATCCCCTGAGATTGTAAACCTGAGCATGTTCCCCCAAATGCATAGAAACTCTAAAAGGTAGAGTAGCCAAAAATGCATGTAAAATCTACTTTTGTAGATATGTGACTCTGATCACACAGAAGAGAACTATTCCAGTGAGGAAAAAAAGTGGTGGCAGACTAATGTGGATGCCCAGGAAGCTCAAACTTGAAAATGCTACACATGAAAATGGAAGGAAACACACATAGTCAAGGACAAATACCAAGAAGTCATGCAGTTCTGGAAGAAGACTATAAGAAAGGCTGGGCCCAGCATGAGTTAAGGCTTCTGGAAAAAGCTTCAGGTACTAAGTCCTACAAAACTCCATCAGAGGAAGGAATAGTAAAAAAAAAATCTACATCAGCATGAAGAAGGTGGCACAATGTTAATGGATGGAAAGAAAATAATCTTTGGGTTATAAATGGTAACAACTACATAACGAGAGAACAGAAGGCAAAAGTAGTTGAGGAGACAGTAAGAGAACACCTAGTTGCTCTTAATAAATTGGACTCTAAAAGGACTTATGCATTCGATTGTTGTCAGTGATCTCTGAAAATCAAGGAAAAGAAGAGATATGAGGTATCACAGGAATGGAAATCGATAAATGTTACCATTTTGAAAAAAAAATTATTTACTAATTCAATGGTTTTTTATTTCCATTTTGTTCATGTCTTCTTTGATTTTTAGGATTTCTATTTTGGAAGGTTTTTAATCTGTTGGTTCTCCAGGCTGTTTTTAGTTGGATGTCCAATGCATTGGTTTGCTCTTTCTCTTTTATATTGATGAAAGTATTGAGAGAGAAATTTTTTCCACTAAGTATTGCTTTTGTTATGTCCCAGAACATTTTGGCATGTTGTCTCATTGTTGTCATCATCTTTCATGAAATTATTGACTGTTTCTGTGATTTGTTCTTTGACCCACTCATTTTAAAGGATTATTTGGTCATTAGTTAATTCTTAATCATTTCATCAGTGTCCCTTTATAAATGTTTATTGCACTGTGGTCCATAAAAGGTTGTTTTCTATATTTTTTATGTTTTATGCCCTAATACAGGGGCCAACAAACTATTACCTAAAGGCCAAGTCCAGCCTGCCTGCCTATTTCTGTACAGTCCACAAGCTAACAATGGTTTTTTACATTTTAAAATACAATAAAACTTTGTTCTAAAATGTAAAAAACCACTCGTAACTAATGGACTATACAAAAACAGGTGGTGGGCCATATTTGACCTGTGAGCCATAAGTTGCCAAGCCCTGCCCTAACATTTGATCAATTTTTATGAAGGTGCCATACATAAGCAATAATATACTTGTTTTTATTCCCATTCAATATTCTTCAGAGATCTATCATATCTAACTTTTCTAAAATTCTATTCTCGTCCTTCACTTCTTTTTGTGTATTTTTTGGTAATACTTGTCATGGTCTGAGAGTGGTAAGTTGAGTTTCTCTCTGTTATAGTTTTACCATCTATTTCCTCTTATAACTCACTTAACTTTTCCTTTAAGAATTTAGATTCCGTGCTATTTGGTGCATATATATTTGTTACTGATATTAGTTCATTGTATTTCAGCATTACATTTATTTGCTTTCAGGGGGGAAAATGTAGTTTTCCTATTTCTTTTCATTAAGTCTATTTTTGCTATTGCTTTGTCTGAGATCATGATTGCAACCCTGCCTTTTTCACTTCATCAAAGCATAATATATTTTGCTCCAGACCCTTATTTTAATTCTGTATATGTCTTTCTTTTTTAAGCATGTTTCAACATATTGTTGGATTCCGATCTTTCTGGTCCATTCTGCTCTGTCTTCTTCTGTTTTATGGGTGAGTTCTTCCCATTCATATTCACAGTTATGGTTGCTAATTTTTTTTTTAAATTCTCTTCCATCTTATTCTCTTATACTTTTTCTTCTCCTTGTTTCTGGTTCTCTCTTTAAGAATTTGTTTTGGGGCAGCAAGGTGGCACAGTAGATAGATCTCCAGCCTTGGAGTCAGGAGGACCTGAGTTCAAATGTGGTCTCAGACACAAAACACACAACACTTACTAGCTGTGTGACCCTAGGCAAGTCACTTAACCCCAATTGCCTAGCAAAAAAAAAAAATGTGTTTTACTTAAAACTAATCCATCCTTCAATCTGCTCTCCCTCTTATTCCCTCCCTTTCCCTTAACCTATTTTCCTCCTATTTCCCCAATGAGTGAAATGGATTTCTTTAACTATGTTATTCTGACCTTATCTTCTTTGGCAAGTTCAGATGAAAGTGAGGTTCAAGTGTCAGCCACTCCTCTCATCCCTTCCCTCTTGTTTGTATAGACTCCTACTAGTGAACCCTAGTTATGTGAGATAAGTTTGCCTATCCTTCCTCTCCCCCCAACCAATGTATTCCTCTTCCTCTTCCTTTCCATTCTTCTTCTAAAACAATCAAAACATAACAGAAACACTCCCAGGCACTCTGTCTAATTAAACTACCTCTAGGACTAAATTATAAACTAACTCTGTGATGACAGACTTCTGAGGGGACAAATGTGCCATCTCCCTGTGTTAGAATGTAAACATGTTCTCTTTGTTTAGTCCCTTATGATTGCTCACTTAAGTTTGCCTTTTCGTTTCTCTTGATTCTATGTACTTCCAAGTTTCTACTCAGCTCTGGTCTTTTATCAAGAATGTTTGGAAGTGCTCTATTTCGTTAAAGATCCATTTCCCTCCCTGTGGATCATATTCACTTTTGCTGGGTAAATTACTTATGGTTGTAAACCTATATCTTTAGCTTTCTGGAATATCATATTCCAGGCTTTCTACTCCTTTGTAGTAGTGGCTGCTAAATCATATGTGATCACTACTGTGGATACTCCATACTTAAATTCTTTCTCAATGACTGCAGCATTTTTTCTTTGACCTGGAAGTTCTGGATTTTGGCTATAATATTTCTGGGAGTTTTCATTTTGAGATTTCTTTCAGTATGTAATGGTTGCATTCCTTGGGTACAGAAATATATTTCATTTAAATGGGGAAATATTAGGGAAATGGGATAATGGAGAAGAGAGGATTAAAGGGAAAGTAGATTAATGGAGGGATTAGTCCAAAATAAAACTAACTAAGGATGTACAAAATGACATAGCTCTTTTTGCAGTGGCAAAGATTTGGAAACTGAAAGGGTGCCCATCGGTTAGGGAATGACTGAACAAATTATGGGCTACGAATATGATGGAATACAATTGTGCCCTAAGAAATGATGACATGGATGGTTTCAGAGAAGCCTGGGGAGATTTGTATGAACTGATGAAGTAAGCAAAACCAGGAGAACAATTTATACAAAAACAACAATATTTTAAAATCAAGCAACTTTGAAAGACTTGGGGCCTCTGATGAGTATAATGACCAACCAACCATAATTCCAGAGAATACAGACATTAGTTCATAAATTAATTCTGTCTTCTTATGTTGTTTGCAGTATCTCTGTGCCCTAGTAAATGGTGAAACATGCTAGAGATGGAAAGGAGTCGCAATACAGAATGAGACAAAAAAAATTTTGAACACAGTCAATGCAAAAATTTGTTCTGCTTGACTGTTTATAACAAGAATTTTATTTTTCTTTCTTTTTCAATGGCAGGGACAGTGATGAAAGGGGGAAAGGGAGGGAGATAAGATTTTTGCTGATTTTTTAAAAATGCAATTTATTTTAAAAAAAAAAAAGAAATGCAGTATTTAGGATCTTTTTTTTTTTCATCCTGGCTTTCAGGTAGTCCAGTGATTCTTAAATTATCTGCCCTCAATCTGTTTTCCAGGTCAGTTGCTTTTGCTACAAGACACCTTACATTTTCTTCTATTTTTTTCAATCTTTTGACTTTGTTTTAATATTTCTTGCTGTCTATAGAGTAATTAGCTTCTATTTAATCAATTCTAATTTTAGGGGAGTTTTTTGCTCTTGGGTAAGGTTTCATACCTCTTGTTCCAAGCTGTTCATTCTCTTCCCAATTTTTTCTTCTATAGATCTCATTTGTTTTCCATTTTTTCCTCTACTACTTTCATTTGGTTTTTAAAAATAGTTTTAATTGATATTTTCAGGGGGGTTTTTACATCACCATATATCCCATGTATTCTTTCCATCTCCCAGAGAGCCATCCCATATGACAAATAGTATATTTTTTAGGGAGGAAAAAAAGTCAACAGAACTGATCAATACAACCATTTATATTTTTGGAGGTATTTCTCTATTTCTTTTATGTTCTCAGTTTTGTTAGCATATAACTGCACATAATATGTTCTTATTGTTCTTTTTATTTCCTCTGGTTTTACTATAATTTCAACTTGCTTGTTTCCTATTTTGTTGATTTGACTTTTTTGCCCTCTTTCATCAGATTAGCTAAGGGTTTATCAATTTTATCAGCCATTTCAAAAAATCATCCTTTAGTTTTATTTGTCATTTCTATGGGGTTTTTGTTTCCAATTTGTCTATTTTCCCTCTAATCTTCAATATCTCCTCTTTTGTGCTTATTTCAGTTTGTTTCTTTGCTCCTTTTCTAATTTTTTAAAAACCACAGTCAGTTCATTAATTCTTTCTTTTTCTGTTTGGATAATGTATGAGTATAAGGATATGATTTTTCCCCTGAGGACTGCTTTAGCCTCATCACAGAAGTTTTGGTAATTTTGGTAATGTTTCATCAGTATCATTGTATTTTACACGTTATTAATTGTTTCTATGATTGTTCTGTTACTTGCTCTTTATTTAGCTTTTCATTATTAAGTCTCCCTTTGGGTCTTTGTCTTTTGTTTGTGGTCCATGAACCAATTTCTATTTTTATTGCATTATGGTCTGAATTGCCAAACAGGATTGACAGCACTAATGAAAGGACACTTGAATATTCCTCTTTCAGAGCTGGATAAACTGAGCGGAATAATGAACAAGAAGGGAAACATAGATACGGCTGACAGATTATTGGAAAAAATAGACTTCACAGATCTATGGTACATCTGGCCAGCTCTTTTTTTAAAAATTATGGTGATTTCTCAATAATTTCTCAAGAATGGGGTTAAAGTATATAAATATTTAAGACATTACACAAAAATTCTTCATGTACAAAGACATAAAAAATTTCTGGGTAAATATAAAAAAGAAATATTATTGAGGCTTGCTTTATGGACCACAATGCAATCAAAATAGTCACCTATAAAGGAAGCATAAACAAAAAGATACAGGCATAAACGAAAACTAGGGAATAACATCCTAGCTATGAGTGGATCACAGAAAAAATAGAAATAATAAGGTAGAAATAAGGAAGATTAATGAACTGAGAATACAATTAAAAACCTAGAAAACCAACAACACTCAAACAAGAAATTTTGAAAATCAGAGGAGAAATAGATAAAATTGTAAACAAAATAAAAAGACTATGAGGAGCTTTTTTGGAAAAGACAAACAAAACCAATAAACCATTAGCCATTGATAGAAAAAAAAAGAAATGATAGAAAATTATACAATCTTGTTGCCTTTACAGAGATCATGATTGCTAGCCCTGCTTTTTTTGCTTCAGCTTAAGCATATATGACCATTTTGACTACATTAAATTTTAAAAGGTTTTTGCAATCAAAAAATCACTGCTAGTAAATTGTTGAACTTG